AAAGAAATATACCCCAAAAGGGAGCCAAGAAAAAAAATGGCATTTAGGATAGTTATGTAGCTTACCTTTCAGATACTGGATATGCAATACTTGCTACTGTCTTTCAGAAATAAACTATGCAAATGTCATGTAAGGCACAGAAATGTTTATAAGAATTGTTAGTAAACTGCCAATTTAAAGACAAACTACATTTAAGCATTTAGCAATTGCTTAAGAAAGTTATGTCTGGTTGTTAAGCATGAAGCATCTCCGTGGAAAACTCAAAATGTGTCATATGAACTATTTACACACTTATTCCTGTACATTAAAGTGAAAACCGTATGTTTTACACATACACAGCTATAATGTTTGACAGTGTAATATTTTGATGTGTACCTTGTGTTTGGAGATATGTAAAGATATCTATAACAGGACAGTTGAATAGCATCTTGCCCACATTGGAGATAGCAATTGTAGATCAAGTGATTGTTTTTCAGAGTAAGTAATCAGTCCCACCTACTTTACACCATTTACAGAGGAACCTCCTTCCAGATTAGGGCTTTGTGTATCAGTGGCACTTACAGTGACACTTTTCACAGATTGACAGAGAAGTTTAACTTATTCAAGTAAAATAAGAGAAAGCTGATTAGACTGTTTCTAGTATATTAATATTTTCTAAATATTATGAAGCAAAGGAGCAAAAATGTTTCATTTCTTTTTTTTTTAGACAGAGTCTCCCTCTGTCATCCAGGCTGGAGTGCAGTGGCGCAATCTCAGCTCACTGTAACCCCTGCTGCCCAGGTTCAAGCAGTTCTCCTGCCTCAGTCTCCCGAGTAGCTGGGATTAGAGGCACCTGCCACCACACCCTGCTAATTTTTATAGTTTTAGTAGAGACGGGGTTTCACCATCTTGGCCAGGCTGTTCTTGAACTCCTGACCTCGTGAGCCGCCGTGCCCGGCCTTATTTCTTTTCTTTACATGACTTAATGAATTTATTTCTCCTCCAGTCTCATTTTCTTCAAATATGTGGTTTTTCTCCTTTGAAGTTATTTTATTCACATGAAAATATATGTGCAAATGATAAGCATATCTAAAACTGGTATTTTAAACTCTTGCATTTATTAACAAATGTTTGTGTTCCTGTTGTTTTATAACACTGTGCTAGCTCCTGTGGGAAATCAAACATACAGCAGTTTCTGCTTGCCAAGAAGCAGAATTTAGTAGGAGATAAATGAACATGTATCACCAGGTGGGGTAATAGTAGGATGATTAAGATACCGAGTTACAGGTACAGAGTTAGTATTCTCAAATTTCCGAATACAGATTGATACCATGATGAGAAACCCCTTTTAAATACTGTTGCAGTAGCATAACTGTGTATAGGAGAGGCCAGCATGAGAGCAGACCAAGTTGGGGGAGGAGGGTGTCTGAATACTGGCCCTAGAGAATTTAAAGGAATTTTTCTAGTCTTTTGAAAAATCAACAAGTATAGCGACAAGTAATTTATATTTCTATCTGTTGTGTATATAATCGTCTCTTTAGAGTTTGACAGCTGCTAGTGTCCAAATATGTTTTTCTAAAGAAATATTTTGTTTGTGAGTACCAACAGTCTTAGTAACTCTCTTATCCCTCTTATGTGCTGAGTACAGTCGGAGGAAGAGGAATTGGAGTTGGTGAGTGTGGGTTTCTGCTTGAAGGAAGGTGAAAAAGATGTAGAAAGTACTAATTACCTTACATGTTCTTATCTAACCAATGTTCCCTTTGTTACACAATTTTTTTAAACACTATTCAAACACTTTGAGTAAAGCAATCTACTGGTACTACAGACTCTAGTTTTTCTATTTATAATTGTATGTGTTGACCCATTTTATTTGTTGGAGGGAACATTGGAATAGAGCCTTTAAAAACAGTAGCTGTCCATGAGCATAGGATACTTGTTAAATTTTTTTTTTTTAAGGAAAGATACAGAATACCTTATATAGCTCTCCAAATTATTGAAATATTTTTAGAAAATGACTTCACCCTTGAAGTTCCTCAGATTGTAACACACGATGTTGTGTTGTTTCTCTTTCAAAAAGATTACATCATTTTTGGTGAGGTCACCTTTTTCAGAGTTAGAATTATTTCATCCTGCATGATACAGCCTGAACCACAAGGGGGTTCCCTGTTTACTAAAAGAAATGTCTGTAATTGAATGTATATATATTTACTTTTCTATCAGAAGACACTCTGTTCTTAAAAGCAACTATTGCTCTTTTTCCAAAACAAACGTTTTCTGTTGGCTTTTCCTCTAGAAAATAAACTTGACTAAAAGCAACTTGCAGTTTATCTATTTCTTCTTTAGGAACTAAAACCAAAACCTCACAGGAGTCATCATATAATCTCAAAGTCAGCTGCTAATTAAAAGACTTTAAGGGGAATAAAAACTTGGAAATGTTTTTAGCATGGACAGGGGTTAAGAGTGCATGAAAGCATGGGGGAGAAGGCATCCATTGGTTTTAATATTCCATGTTTATGCATGCTGGTGTGTTTTGCACAGTTTGTGATCTTTTCAAATAAGGTTGTCTGTTCCCCTTAAAATACGAGATTGTTCTTTATTTAGCTTTGTGATCAGTCACAGTTTTGGATATAGTTTTGTATTGGCCAACTGAACTATTCTAGTCAGCTGTAAATGTTTTGAATTATGTTATGAATATCTTTTGGAGAAACACTTTACTTAATGATACCATAATGATCAGTAAATGAGAGTTTATAATTCAAGCTAAAATAATTCACCTTAGGTTAGACTTCACTGTTCAAGGAGTTGTGAATGCTTCCATGAATTATCTAGCACTATATTGCCCTCTTGTGGTTCTGAAAATCACTTACTCTTAGAGAACTCAGTGCCTTTGAGATTAGGAGCTTAGTTGAGTAGAACCAGTGTTTGAAGTCTTACTGTTTTCAAAGACATGCCAGAAGATTGCCATGAAGATGATGCCATGGAGTAGGTAGGGTCCAAGCCAAACTATGTCATACTGTATTCTTTCACCTAGTGATTTGACTTTAGAAGTTCCAGACTAAATATGAAAGAAGAAATTAAGTCCAAATTAGATCTGTATCTTGAAAAGTCATTAAATTTAAAAACTTGATGCTGAAACTAACATATTCCCAACTGGCATATGTTGGTTTTCCACATTCCTCAGAGTAAGTATATTTGTAATTACAGAACCTCAGAGATAAATATATTAGGTCCCTGAAGACTTTAAAATACGTATCTAAAAACTTATAAACAGCCATTTGTATTTTTTAAAACTGAAGCCTGAGACTCTATAATCAATTAAAAATGCAGAACTTTATGTGCCAGAACCAAAATATAATCAGAAGCACAGTCCGTTAGAACTTAGAAGTGGTTCAAATTGCCTTGAGCTCTAAAATGTAATTGTGGATGACTGATCCGAAGTGCGGAAGGACAGGTGCCCTGGGGCCTGCACTAAAGACTGTACTGTTAAGACCAGCCACGGAGATTCCTTTAGAAGCTGAGCAATAGTAGAACAACTTGACTTCATGAAAGCTGCAGTAGACTAGGCTATGGATTAGAAGGAATAAAAATATGTATTTTTTTTTTCCCACCACTTATATAGAAATTTGGGACAGAGGGTTTCTTGGGACAATAAGGATATTATCTTACATTTGTGTAGTACTTCAGTTATGAAAGCACTTCTGACATAATAACCTCATTTGATTCTCACAGTAGCTGTTGAAGGCAGCCAGGACAAAGATTGCTGTATCTTCTCTATTTGACAGTGAAGAAGTTCAGAGGTCAAATGATTTTCCCAGTGCTTAGGAAGTGGTGAATCTGGGACAGAAACTCAAGCAGTACATCCACATCCACATGGTCTTTCTCACATCTTCTAACCTAGGATAGAAAACAGAAATTAAAAAGAAATAAACTGAGATCAGGATCCTCATTGAATGTTTGTAAGTGTCTAGATCTAGCCTAAGGCCTTTGTCTGATGTACTCTTTTGAAAATTGTGGTAGAGAAAATGGAATCACATTCTAACTCTTCATAATCTCAACGGCACTGAATTATACTTTACTGATTTGGCTCAGATCCCTGAATGTCAGTTATCAGGCTGTAACATAATTTATAAAAAACAAATAGAGTTGTGCTGTGACTTTCTGGTGTGCTAGTGACACAGAGTCTGTTGTGTTCCTCCGATCTTAGATTTTGGAAAACTGTTACCTTAAGCCAGTTTGGTGAGAAACTGGTTCTGTCATACTCCTACACATTAAGGACAATGACTATCTTAAACTAACTGGATTATTTAATAGTTGATTTTTTTAATCCATTCCTAGCATGCATAGGATGCTGCATAGATGCATACAGTTGGCAAGCATTTAATATTGCTCTTCCACAGCCCTGTCAGCAGTACTTGATTGAAAATGCTGTACTCAAAGCATCTCCTACAGAAGGCCAGGGGACCATGAAGGGATACATATCTGAATCTGTTGTTAAAAAATAGGTCAACTGCATGATTGGAGAGAAAGAAATAAGAATACAAGCTGCACTCAATAAGCCATGACTTCAAACTATGTTAACATGTAAATGCCGCAAAGAAAAGTAGTTTTGATTCCTATGCTCATAGACGTACAATCCCTATATATACAGATGACCTTTGCCATCAGCAGGTATTTAAAACCTACATATATTTAGGGTAGTCTGACAGTATTTGTAGCGGCATCACGTCCTCATTTTGTGCTAACAAATAGAAGTGCTAATGCCTGTAACGTAAGTTCCTATTTTAACGTGGTGTGTCTAACATTAATAAACTATTTTAAGAGGAGAATTAATGTAAAAATATGACTCTTCAAATCAAATATTTAGTTCTCACTAGTATTTTTGAAGTTTTCACATCATCACTGCTTCAGAAAATGACATTCATATAAAACTGTGAAAAATGTCACTTTTAAATTGCAAGTTATTTTTAAGTCAACATAAATACCATATAAGAACACTTTTTCTCTTTTTTGATCTCTCACAGAATACCCAAAGGATAAGTAGTTCTCAAGCCACTCAACCTCTTGCTACCCCAGTCGTGTCTGTGACAACCCCAAGCTTGCCTCCACAGGGACTTGTGTACTCAGCAATGCCGACTGCCTACAACACTGGTGAGCCTGCTTTGGTGCCTTCCATAGGTTGTACTGCTCTCTGTTTTGTGATCAACGTGTGCTTTTGTGATTTTTTTTTAAAGTATATTTATTGAAATAAACTATTTCCAGTTTTTTAGATTTAAATTAGGATGTATTTTTAAATGTGCTAGCCTTGAAAAAAATTACAAAAAAAATTGATAGTGTAATGAGTTGAATAAGTTATTTCTGCTTCTCCATTGTGAACTTTCAATTACCCCTGACAAAAAGCCCATGTAGATAATATCAAAGTGGTGGCATACATCAAGCCAAGAGGGTAGCAGCCTGTTGCTTGAGTATTGTTGATGTAGTTTTTCTTTAAACAATACCACAGTCTTCCAGACTTTTAAAATAAGATGTTTGTCTTTATGCTGTGTTAACGTGCTTTGGGAAAGACATGAATCCCTTTGGACCTGAGACTTCGGGAGGTGGCCGATATTTGACTATGTCTAACAGGCTGTTTTCCTCCCTGTAACCACTAGCTTGGTCCATGTCATTTGCGCTCCTGAGGGGCAAAACAAGGACTGTTCTGGTTTCTCCTCAGAGCCAGTCACTCTGCCTTTGAGGGGAGTTTTTCCTTCATTTATGTTTAGTTAGGCATTTCATCTTAAAATGCCCTAATTTGGGGTTGTATTAGGAAAATTTAAGAATATTACAGTGATTATAGGAGTGCTTTTAGCCAAGCAGACTGTATGGAGAATCGAGGGCAGCTGGTTTCATTTAAATTTACCAATCTAAGAAAAAGTGGAAAACACATGTGGTTTCACTTTCTCATCGACTGAGCCAAACACCTGATGCTTCAGAGGAAGAAGGCAATAAATTCTACCTTGCCAATTACTCCGAGACTGCAATGCAGAGAAGTTATTCTTTTATGATTCTCCCAAGTGTGATGAGTAGACTGTGGTAAAGATCGTCTGATTTTAGCCTTCAGGGTGAATGCTTTGGCACAGTACTTTGAAACTGCTGTCTGCAGCTACCTGAGGGGGCAGAGTGTTGAGAACATTTGATTGCCACTTTTAAGTAGTTCTTTTAAAACAAACAATAAAAGGTTTCATTGGAAAAAAAAAAAAAAAAAAACAACTTCTTAGGAAATATCCATTACTTTTCCAACAATTAGTATGAAAAATAATGCCCAAATTTGTCCACTGCATACTATCTTAGGGACTCTGAATCATAGCCTGTTATTTGTGTCTTGCACAGAACAAGGTTCCAGAGCAAAGCCAGGGATGATGGATTCATAGAAATTCTGTTTCGATGCACTGATCACCTGCTGTATGAGAGACACTATGCTAGGGACATACCTTTCTCCAAGTTTATTCTAGACAAGGAGACAGGACATACCTAAGTGGGCAACCATGGAGGGGAAGTCCTGAATTGTTGTGTTTATGAATTTATACTCTGAGAAATGAGAAGGTACGGCAAAGCTATAATGTTCAGAGGCTTATTGACTGAGAAGAGGGAGCTTGAAGTAGGTGTTAGATTATGGTTTACTGAGTGTTTCATTACAGGTTTTTCAGTATACTTAGAAATTCCACTATACTTATTTTCAGAAATGCCACTGAATTGGGAATTTATTTTTTAAAAGTATAAAAGGAATTACCAAAGCGTATAAAAATGGAGGCAGGCTCTCAAAATCACCAGTCGCTTAGCGTCAGTCTCATGCCACCTTTTGACTGACTTTATCTTTGTTCTCTTTCTCATAACACTTATTCTGTTTTAAGTTTACCATGTTATTTTTAACTTATTCACACATCTATTCAGCAAATACTTATCAGGCAGCTACTGTGTGGTAAGCACTATGCCAGGCACTGGAAATATAGGAGTGCAGAGTCAACAGTGGAGCCTAGGAGGAGGGCACAAGACACATAGCACTAGGGATAAGCTGCTTCAATTGTGTCAAGGGCTATATCTCAGCTTGGACATGAAGGAACATGCATGACTCAGGCAGGCAGAAGAGGTAGAGTGCTCTTGGGAGAGGGCGTGCCTGTACAGAGGCTAGGAGTTCACAGGCGGCACAAGGCTGAAGGAATGGGAACAGAACGTGGGTTAGAATTGAGACTAGAGAAGTAAGTAGCGATTTGTAGACCATGTCAAGGATTTTGGAAACTGTCTGGAGAGCATTGGGAAGCCATAAAAAAGTTTTAAGTAGAGGAGTGCCATGATCATATTTGTTATTTTGAAAAGATCTCTTTGGCTGCTGTATATAGGGTTACAAGGCAATGCCAGGAAGCGATGTCAGAGGCTATTGTAGTGGTCCAAGCAATGTGTGTTGATAGCATAGACTAGAGTGGTGGCAGTAGAGATGGTGAGACTTGGGCAGGCTTGAGAGAGAGCAGATAGAATTGCTCAGATCTGGAAGTTGATGGGGGGAGTGAGAGGGAAGGGAAATAGCAAGGATAACACCCATAGGCTTCTGCACGAGCTGCTGGGTGCATGTTGGTGCCATGTACTAAGACACAGTACTTAAGGAGGAACAGGTTTGCAGGAAAGGACAGGCCATGTCAGATTTGTGGCGTTTGGAGTGGCATCCAAATGGACATGGCATGCAGGTCGTTTAAAAGGCCTAGTGGTCGAAAGAGAGTGTGGGCTGGAGGGAGCACTGGGGAAGGCATCAGTGTGGCAGGCCCTTGCCCCAGCCCGTAGGAGTGTATAGAATAGAATGAATGACAAGGGCAGAATCAGGACAGCGCTGAGCACCAGCTATGTTGCTTCAACTTAGTTCCTTTTTTAACATGTTAATTCACTAGGAAGACCAACTTCTTTAAACACCTCTCTTGAGACATGAGAAAGAAGATAAAAGTAGAAGAGTTTTGCCACCTCTCTTTAGAACCAAATGGAATAGACAAGTGTTATGATGAGCTGAAATAACTCCCCGTGTGAGTGATAACTAACATCCTAAATCTTGGTCCCAGTGATTATGACTGAAGCATTCATATGATATGAGCTGGGTTATACTCTAGGACACCAAGTTTTTTCATGAAGTTGAAACTATTTTGCATGCTGTCAAGGAGTTTGTGATAGTCTAGGTACTTTAAACAAATGCAGTGAATTAATTGTGTAATGATGTCACTAAGCTTGGCACCCCATGTAAAGGGAATCTGTCTTTCCTGTCCCCTGTCCCCCAACCCCTTACTTCATTAAGACTTGCTGATTCAAACTCACTCTGGTTGGGTTTGACTGTTTCTGTTTGTTCCAAAGGGTAGCGGCAGGCATATTTAAAATAACAATTGTACAGAACATTCTTTAACGATGGCCTCTTATTTGAATCATCCCAGACAACTAAATATGGCTAGATCCTGTAAATCTTCCAAGAAAAGATTTTGGATTTTAGACCCACATGTATGTTGTTTTGTTGTGAAGTATCTGGCTTCTCTCAATGTAGGAACTTTTTATTTTTTTTGAGAGGGAGTCTATTGCGCAGGCTGGATGGAGTACAGTGGTGCGATCTTGGCTCACTGCAGCCTCTGCCTCCTGGGTGAAATTCAAGCAGTTCTCCTGCCTCAGCCTCCCGAGTAGCTGGGACTACAGGCATGTGCCACCATGCCTGGATAATTTTTGTATTTTTAGTAGATATGAGGTTTCACCATGTTGTCCAGGCTGGTCTCAAACTCCTGACCTCAAGTGATCCGCCCATCTCAGCCTCCCAAAGTGCTGGGATTACAGGCATGAGCCAGCATGCCTGGCCTCAGTGTAGGAGCGTTTGCAGTAGCTATCTAAAAAATAGATTCCATGTGGACCTTCCATCACATGCAGAGCTGTCTTGTCTTCTTTCATAGATTATTCACTGACCAGCGCTGACCTGTCAGCTCTGCAAGGCTTCAACTCGCCAGGAATGTTGTCGCTGGGACAGGTGTCGGCCTGGCAGCAGCACCACCTAGGACAAGCAGCCCTCAGCTCTCTTGTGTGAGTAACTAGAAGTTTTCCCTGCATCTTTACTCCTGGCCGACACACTCTCTTCTCCTATCAGTTACAGCCTTTTTTGCTCTGTTGAGTTTCGTGTGAGGAATCCTGTAGTGATTCCTTTTCAGGTAGAGACAAGTGTTGGGAGAAAATATTTTCTTTACATGGCTCTAGATAGTAGCTTGGATACTGACAAACTAGGCATTTCTTGAAGGGATTTGGGAAGCAAGGCTTCTCCCATAGGGACATCCTGAGGTAGAGAGACTCAACCGGGATCTGAGGGGGTCCAAAGGCACAGGTATCACCCACATGCACCATCCTTCTACCCGCTGACCAGTGATTAAGCCGCCTGCTGCACCGCTGCTTCTAAGCGCCTGCCTCTGGTTCCCCTGCTTGAAAGGCAGCCTGTAGGCATTCGGGCCCCCCCGCCACCCTTGCCACTTATTGCTTTGGCAAGTATCTGTAGACAAGAATAGGAAGACAAGCTGTATCTTCTGCTTTCTCCCTGGGCATAGAGAAGGAAAACTGGGGGCAGGGTATCTTCTATATCAGTCAGACTCCATAGAATTTGTGTGATTGATCCCAGCCCAATGCACACACCAAACCTCATTCACAAAGAGAACATTCCTCATGGGCAGGGTGTAAGGATATAAGCAAAAAGGATTTACATTGGTGCCCAGATGAGGCCAGACATCCCTGAACAGCAGGGAGAAAGAACAGGGCTTTTGTGGAACCAGGATGACAGTAGACCCATGGAGCAGGTGGAGGAGAGTGTCCCAAGAGAGGGGATGACATAGCAGACCCAGCTGGCCTCCATGAAGACTGGCTGCCTTGCCTCTGATCAGGGCAGTAGGAATACCCCAGACCTCTAGCCTGTGCCCAGGAAGTCCCCAGAGAGCCTGAGCTCAGCAGTCCCTTTCCCTCATACATTCTGAAGTAACTCCACAATGAGGATTGTTATCAGTGGTCTTAAGAATTATGTCATGGAAAAAGGAGCAGAATATCTCAGGGAAATTTGCCTACACAGGATTTGGCCCTCAGGCCTGTCCTGAGCATCCTAAATGAATGCACTAAAAATAGACCTGGAAAAGCAAGTGGAAAGGGCTCAGAGCCCAGGCCTGGGGAACAGCCTGTTTGCGTCCTCCTGTACTGCTTTGAGCCAGCTCCTCATTTCCTCATCAGGACAATGAGGATGGTGTGACTTGCACCTTAGAGGTGTTGTGAGGATAAGAGATGTGCCCTGTCACAGGGCCAGAGCATATGGTGAGCAGATGCTGAGGAAGAAGAGACAGTGCGCAGATGAGGCTGCTGTGCTGTTCCTCTTTCTGTTCCCTGCACAGCATTAAGACACCGACATTGTTTTGTATACTTCAGCTGCGAGAGTACCAACGTTGTGGGTAACAGAACCAAGTAACGTAAGGGCTCGATGGTACTGTTTTCTTTCCTCCCAGGAAGACGGGATTTCCTTTTGTGCCAAGCACGGAAGGAAATGACCCAAACCAGTCTTGGGGAACTCTGACAAGATTTCAGACTCTGGGCCCTTTTCCATCAGGCAGTGTCTGTACTGTATCATCCCAGTTTTGCAGAGGCACTCGCAAGCCATTGACCTCTCTCTTTTTTTCCTTCAGTGCTGGAGGGCAGTTATCTCAGGGTTCCAATTTATCCATTAATACCAACCAAAACATCAACATTAAGTCCGAACCAATTTCACCTCCTCGGGATCGTATGACCCCATCGGGCTTCCAGCAGCAGCAGCAGCAGCAGCAGCCGCCGCCGCCACAGCCGCAGCCACAGCCACAGCCACAACCCCCGCAGCCCCAGCCCCAGCCCCGACAGGAAATGGGGCGCTCCCCTGTGGACAGTCTGAGCAGCTCTAGTAGCTCCTATGATGGCAGTGATCGGGAGGATCCACGGGGCGACTTCCATTCTCCAATTGTGCTTGGCCGACCCCCAAACACTGAGGACAGAGAAAGCCCTTCTGTAAAGCGAATGAGGATGGACGCGTGGGTGACCTAAGGCTTCCAGGCTGATGTTTGTACTTTTGTGTTACTGCAGTGAACTGCCCTACATATCTAAATCGGTAAATAAGGACATGAGTTAAATATATTTATATGTACATACATATATATATCCCTTTACATATATATGTATGTGGGTGTGAGTGTGTGTGTATGTGTGGGTGTGTGTTACATACACAGAATCAGGCACTTACCTGCAAACTCCTTGTAGGTCTGCAGATGTGTGTCCCATGGCAGACAAAGCACCCTGTAGGCACAGACCAGTCTGGCACTTCCTTGGACTACTTGTTTCATAAAGATAACCAGTTTTTGCAGAGAAACGTGTACCCATATATAATTCTCCCACACTAGCTTGCAGAAACCTAGAGGGCCCCCTACTTGTTTTATTTAACTGTGCGGTGACTGTAGTTACTTCAGAGAAAATGCTTTGTAGAACAGAGCAGTAGAAAAGCAGGAACCAAGAAAGCAATACTGTACATAAAATGTCATTTATATTATCCAACCTGGCATGGGTGTCTGTTGCAAAGGGGTGCATGGGAAAGGGCTGTTGATATTAAAAAACAAACAAAACAAAAAAGCCCCACACATAACTGTTTTGCACGTGCAAAAATGTATTGGGTCAAGAAGTGATCTTTAGCTAATAAAGAAAGAGAATAGAAAACACGCATGAGATATTCAGAAAATACTAGCCTAGAAATATAGAGCATTAACAAAGTAAAATTAATATATTAAGTTATAATTGGAATATGTCAGAAGTTTCTTTTTACATTCATATCTTAAAAATTAAAGAAACTGATTTTAGCTCATGTATATTTTATATGAAAGAAAACACCCTTATGAATTGATGACTATATATAAAATTATATTCACTACTTTTGAACACATTCTGCTATGAATTATTTATATAAGCCAAAGCTATATGTTGTAACTTTTTTTTAGAGAATAGCTTTATCTTGGTTTAACTTTTTAGTTTTATTTTAAGAGGGGAAAACAAAAATATCTTGCAAGCAGAACCTTGGAAAAAAAAAGCCATGAACACTTATTCTATATGTAAATTAAAAGTTGAGCCAAACTCTTTGTGTATATAGCATCTTAAATATATTATCACCTTTGATGTAAGTACCTATGTATTGTATGGTCACCAGATTAAAAAGTATATTTTTGTGGATTGCCGCCAATTTGGGGGGAAAAGGCGAGGTCCTTTATTAAGTATTCACTGTTTAATATTTACTATTTTGTTAAATATACTGTACTTTGGATTTTAATTATTAGCCCAGTTTTTTCAGAGGATTGTATAAAGGGGTTTCTCCCCTCACTGGTGGTGAATGTGTGATGTTACATTGTAATCTTTGTGCTGTATGGGTTGAGCATCATTATATATTTTATATGTGTACATAAATAGCAAAGTGGCAAAAAAATTGGTGTTAAGTTCATCCTGCATAAGTATAAAATGTGTTGTAACAAATTTTATAAGGCATTATTTAAAACTTGCCTTTTGTGAGGAAAAAAATATAGTAGAAAAAGCTGACCTAATTTAATTAATATTAGAGAAAATGGCAAAATAGTAGATGAGCACAAAGGTTTTATAAGTGGTAAATGATTAGGGGAAAATACTCGTGGGGAAAGGGATCTTTTTTCCTTGACCATCTGAAAACAGAATGATGCAGCTGGTTACAAAATCCTACCATTATCAGCTCTTCTGCACATCGCAGAGATAAAGCTTTGGTATGCAGGGAGAAACGCTCTTAAGGTGCCGGTCCTTGGCATGACTCTTGCCATTCTAATTGGAATTAGTGCCACCCTCAGCTTGGATTTTGAACAAGGCCTTATTCTTTCAGGAAGACAACTAATGGATGATAGCAGGTTCATCCACTTACTGGGCTTGTGCCATGAGCAAAATTCAAAGTCCTGTATATCTTTCATTGTAGATTTTTAAATACTCCTTTTCCTGAAAAACTCAAGGGTTTAAATATTGCTATTTTATATTTTAAACAATATTGAGCAGCTACCTACAATTTCTACGTACATTTTGTTCCCCTCACCACTACCCCCAAATTATGTTCCTTTTGACATTTTCCATTATGTTCCTTTTGACATTTTCCTCATTTGCTGTTTGTGACAAGTCATCAGCCAGATTTCCTGACTGACACATAGGTGTGATCAGTGCAGGAGAAACCTGTGCACCACAGGCTGCAAACTGGAGGTTCTGTTCTCATGGCAGTTTGGGCAGTAACTTTTGAGAGAGGCCAAAAAAAGGAGGATGACATGCTGTCTCCTCTCTTCAGTATAGACATTTGGCTCTTATTCAGAAAGCATTTTTCTTTAAAAATGTACTTATTTTACTGAACTACTTACAGGCACATTTCTTCATAAGACCACACCTAATCCAAACAAGATAGTCTCCCAACACTGAAGTTCCAAAATAATCCTTACCACTTTGTAAACCATTTATAGCTTTGAAAGTGTTAAGTGATTCCTTCGTTATTATTTATGCATGTTCATGAACTTCTGCTGTACATTGGAATAGGAGTTAACACATTCACATTTACTGTCTATTTTCTTGTGTGCCTTATGAGATGGCTTTTCTGACTGTATCTCAATAGTCTTTCTTTCTATGCAGGTTTATAATCAGTACAACTACTGTTTTCTAAAATAATATTACTCAAGGCTCGGAGTTTGTATTTAAATTACACTGACCAAGTAACAATGTATTCCATTTCAGGAACCGAATATTTGACTGTTAACCTTTTTCCCATACGCCCAGTGTGGCATGGAGCATATGGACTTGACAGACATCTCTCACCCAGACGCTCATGTGTGAACACACCCACATCCACATCTCTGGGTGGAAACCAGCCTAGAGCGGGGACAACGCTAATGGTGTTGCTTTAGAACCGTCTTTTCTTACCCTTTTAGACTCGTGTTTTGTATGAGACACCATTGCAAGAAAATTTTATCCCTCCAGAAGTATTTTATTACTAAAAAACAAAAGCAAAAAAAGCTTAGAGTAAATTGCACTGGTTAAAGTACAGTTTCCAACAGCTGTACTTCTTTAGTACTCTAATCGCCACTCCACTGCGAGTGAAAGTCACCATTGTGTGTACACAGGTGGTCCCAATCAGAACTCCATCATTTGAGCCCAATTATGTCCATTGTGTTGTAGACTAAATCAGGGGTTTGTTCTAAAAGAACAATACATGTTTTACCATTTCCTTTAACTAGAAGGACAACTAGTAATGCATTAACATAATTTCTCTATTAACCATCATGCGCACAAGAAATACATAGTAAATAAGGAACCTGAAAACTCCTGGCATTGGATCTTAAGAAGCTAGATGATTAGAATGTGAAAAAGATTTTACAAATGTAAAACTTCTATTTCTCTGTAGAAACTTTCTTCACTTTGCTGTGCAAGAAGACACTGCTTTGCTATATTTAAAATGGCTTTTTTAAAGAGATTTATGTATTTGGTAAATGTTTGTAGTCAACAGTTCACACAAGAAGCTGTACACGGTTTGATCATGTAAAACCGTTTGGCGGCACAAGCTGGACTTTGTTGCCATCCTTGAGATGAACCTTTTAAGAAAAATAAGTTAATCTCAATTTTTCCCTGAATGTGTTGTTTTTCTTCATTATACAATAAATATAATAGTGAACTTTTTATCAAATGGTGAAGACAATGCTAAAGGTTGTTGTAAACTGTTTGTCTCCCGCACTCACTCCAGTAAAGACGGACTGGCTCTTACTGTGCATCGAGACTCTGTCATGTTTGCCTGGGGAAACAAGGCGCTGGCTTTGCCACCAGGCGCCCCTTCCCCTAAAGCCCTCTCCCTTTTCATTCCTTTCACGAAGACCTCTTTCACCTGCAGGGCCCCTTTCTCTGGGTTGAGACAGGGTCAAGGAAACCGTCCCAGCGCCCCCACTCGCCTCCCCCTTGTCGGAGGCCATCCCTCCTGGGCAGCCCTGGAGCCTGTAGGATGCAGTGGGCCATGCAGTCCCAACGGGGCCTAATCCAGCTGTTGCATGCACAGCGCTGTGGATGAACGGAATCCATTCGGCCTCCAGTAACTGCTTCTCAGAAAATATGCCAAAGCGTGTTAGACGGGGTGGATGCGTTAGAACCCTCGTTAGATTCTGTGTCTCTCTAAAGTCTAGGGTGTGAAATGATTAGTTTTGCCCAAAATACGTACATGATGCTGAGCTAGAGGCAGCAGAAGACAGATTTACTGGCATGAATTGAATTTTCTTTTCAAAAATGATAGGTGTACGTCCCAGTATGCTGGCAGGTACTTAATGGTCATCTCCCTTTGTCATAATTCAGCTAGAAAATGAAAAATCTTCAACTTTCAGTAGAAAATGTTCTCTCCTTCTGATGTGCCTTCTAAGCCAGCTCCTAGCTAAGCAGATTCCTGGTGTTAAACTGAAAACTAAATTTTTGTGCTGGCTACAGCGGGGCTCTTATTAGCAGGTTTTGAAAGCTGGTTGAGTCCTGTGGCTAAAAATACTCTAATCACAGCTGCAGCTACTTAAAATCAATTCATTACATTTTCCTGCTTGGCTCCCTGAGTGCCTTGCTCTAGGCGGTATCTTGTTTTCAGGCCGATTCTGTGGCAGCAGCCAAGATGATTTTCAGTTGGAGTCCTGTGCCAGCTGATGGGCCGCAGCCTGCTCCGTCGGTGGTGCAGTGCTCACAAGCGGCCCCAAGGACCACTCAGTTGTAAAACTGAGAGGAAGAGGAGTGTTTCTTCCCATCTTCCACGGGGCCCGGAGGTTTCAGATTGGGGCGTAAAACACCAGATATTCTGGGTCGAGTGGGCTCGTGTCCTCATCCCACAGAGAGCTGCTGAGCCCCATCTGTGAGGTAAGCCCTGATCCCAGCTGTTGCAGGCTTTGGGCTGAGGACGAGCTCTTCCCAGGCAGCCCCAGCCCCAAGTGCACATAGCTGGGGTGTAAAGCTTTGGTGCTCCTAATTTCATCTGTCTTGCTTCCCAGAGGACCCAAATTGACAGGGCATCTTACTCAGCTTAGAGGCCAGGGCCTACACTCCAGTCGCTTTCTTAGAGATGCACGATGTGCCTGCTTTCTAGCTAACCAAAGCAAACGCAGTTGTGGAAAGAAATCAGTTGTACTAACTGGTTTCACTACACAGTCCCCCCTTTTTTTACTTACTATATACACTTCATTTTGAACTCAACTTTTGAGTTACAGAGAGATGGGGAAATAATGTGGTTTCCACATATCCCTCAGCGGGCTTTCCCTAATGCTAACATTTACATAACCATAGTACAAGTATGAGAACTTGAAATTAATATTGATTAATTATTAATTTTGAAATTAATATTGATACAGCATTTTTCACTAAATAACTTACTTGAATCTCCCCATTTTTTCCACTCATGCCTGTTCTAGGATCCGATCGAGGATCCCACATTCCCTTTGTCACTTGTTACAGCTTTTCTTATCTTGTATAACCTTTGACACTTTTGAGTACTGATCAGTTATTTTTGTCTAATACCCCTCATTGTGGATTTGTCTGATGTGATGATTGGAATGAAGTTGTGCATTTTGGCAAGAATACCACAGAAATCATGTGTCCTTAATGCATCATGGAGTCCATGTTGATGTCTTATTCCGGGTGACACTAACTTTGATCACTTGGTTCAGTGGTTTTTACAGGGTTTCTTCAGTGTAAAAAGTTACACTCTCTCCCTTTGTAATTGATACATATATTGGGGGAGATACCTTGAGACTATGCAGGGTTATATTTTCACCCCCTAATTTTGCATCTTGTCTACAGCTGTGGTAGCCGCCTGTTCTCTTCCACATTTATTCACTGGAATTCTGCTGCGAGGAACAGCTGTCCCCTTTCATTTCTTTAACTCATTATATCGTTGTGAACTCAGGGATTTTATTTTTCCTGTGGGTTAGAATCCAGTACTGTCATTATTTTGCTCCTCCAATTGTTCCAGCTTTGGCCATTAGGAGCTCGATCAGGTGGCCTTCCATGTTAAATTTGAGTCTCTCCAACCCCTTTAGCATGTCCTTTCTGGCACCACAAGATGCTCCACACTCGTATTGCTGGGTCCACCACTTTTTCCACAATTCCTGGTTCCTTTTATTGGAGAATGGTATTTGGAAACCAGATCTGGGCACTAGATGTGATTATTGTTACTAGGGTGTCACCTCCTTCGGGCTCTTTCTGCAGACACCACAAGGAAATACATGTAGTTGTGCTCACACACACACACACACACACACACACACATCCATATTCCTAATTACCTAAATGTGTCAAAAGCCATGGTTTCCACTAATGCTTTGGATTCCAATTCAATGCCCCAGGATTCCTTTTAGCCTTTCCTCATTTGTAACTTCTTTCTCCTGTGGTAGGGAACCCAGCTCTTACTATCTATGGTCCTTTTACTTACTGTTCAGTTCCAGTGTACACTTATTTTCAGAACTGCCTGCACCTGTGTAGGCAACGAACAGTGACTGACTAGATGAGAGCATTTATGTGGTTTTGTGGTTTTGCCTTTGGCCTTACACTATCCAGTCAAGACAGTGGTTTCCAGTTACTTGTAGTTCCCAATCTCTTCAGTATGGTTATCTTACTCATTTGTAACATGGTTAGCTTCATCTGTTCGTGTTGTATTTCACTTTCGGCACCCTTCCCCATCCTAGTTGGTTTTAATGATTTATTTTGAGGGTTATATGAATAGTATCTGAAACATTACTGTGTTTCCAAGCTATACAAAAAAAGATGCTCAGGAAAACATTCTCTCTTCACCCCTGCTAGCCTATTCCTATCCTTGCCTCTCCCACCAACCCCTAGAGACAACTAGTACTTGTACAAATAAGCAGCTTTGCTTTTTCCACTTAATAGTCTATCTGGTAATCACTCCTTAGAGTGATCAGTTCATAGATGTTTTCATCCAGGATGTGGATGTACCATAGTGCTAACCCATGTGCAGGCATTTAGGCTGTTCCCAATATTCCACAGTCGTCAGTGAATAGCCCTACACGTGTATATTTGTATTTTTAAAGATATATCTTCAGGATAGATTCCTAGAGGTGGGATTGCTGAGGAAGTTCACGTGTAGTTTTGCAAGGTATTGCCAAATTTCCCTCCAGATATGTATCAATTTGCATTTCCTCCAGTAGTGGATGCGGACATCCTTGCCAACAGAGTGCAGTCATATTTTTTATTTTTACCAGTCTGAGAAGTATATCTCAATGTTGTAATTTGCCTTAAATTGAGCATTTTTTTCATATGTTTGAGAACATTTTAATCTCTTTCGAGTGTGTGAATTTCTGTTCCTGTCTTTTTCCCATTTTTCTATTAGATTTTTTTTATTTTCATTCCCCAACTTGTAAGGGGTATTTTTATATTAGGGATATTGACCCTCTGGTGTATGTGCTATGAATAACTTTTTTGTGGTACTTCAGTCATGCAAAATTTTATTTTTGTGGAGTCAAATTTATCAATCTCGTTGCTTGTAGATTTTGAGTTACATTTGGAGATACTTTCCGTACACCAAGGTTAGAGAGGAATTCACCCATGTATTCTTGTTCTAGTATGGTTTCATCCTTTACTTTTAGATTGCTGATCCATTTGGAATTTGTTCTTATATATGGATCTAATTTTATGTGTTTACAAAAGGCTCTCTATGGCCAGGTGTGGTGGCTCACACCTATAATCCCAGCACTTTGGGAGGCTGAGGTGGGAGGATTGCTTGAGCCCAGGAATTCGAGACCAGCCTGGGCAGCACAGGGAACCCAGCTCTTACTATCTATGGTCCTTTTACTTATTGTTCAGTTCCAGTGTACACTTATTTTCAGAACTGCCCGCACCTGTGTAGGCAACGAACAGTGACTGACTAGATGAGAGCATTTATGTGGTTTTGTGGTTTTGCCTTTGGCCTTACACTATCCAGTCAAGACAGTGGTTTCCAGTTACTTGTAGTTCCCAATCTCTTCAGTATGGTTATCTTACTCATTTGTAACATGGTTAGCTTCATCTGTTCGTGTTGTATTTCACTTTCGGCACCCTTCCCCATCCTAGTTGGTTTTAATGATTTATTTTGAGGGGTATATGAATAGTATCTGAAACATTACTGTGTTTCCAAGCTATACAAAAAAAGATGCTCAGGAAAACATTCTCTCTTCACCCCTGCTAGCCTATTCCTATCCTTGCCTCTCCCACCAACCCCTAGAGACAACTAGTACTTGTACAAATAAGCAGCTTTGCTTTTTCCACTTAATAGTCTATCTGGTAATCACTCCTTAGAGTGATCAGTTCATAGATGTTTTCATCCAGGATGTGGATGTACCATAGTGCTAACCCATGTGCAGGCATTTAGGCTGTTCCCAATATTCCACAGTCGTCAGTGAATAGCCCTACACGTGTATATTTGTATTTTTAAAGATATATCTTCAGGATAGATTCCTAGAGGTGGGATTGCTGAGGAAGTTCACGTGTAGTTTTGCAAGGTATTGCCAAATTTCCCTCCAGATATGTATCAATTTGCATTTCCTCCAGTAGTGGATGCGGACATCCTTGCCAACAGAGTGCAGTCATATTTTTTATTTTTACCAGTCTGAGAAGTATATCTCAATGTTGTAATTTGCCTTAAATTGAGCATTTTTTTCATATGTTTGAGAACATTTTAATCTCTTTCGA